AGCCTGCTTTCTTATACAACCCAGAACTATATCTGTCTAAGAGTGGCACTACCCAAAATTGTTACTCATGAAAATGCTCCACAGCCTGGCCTCCAAGCCAATATGATGAAGACATTTGCTCAACTGAGATTTTTTCTCCCCAGATAACCCTAACTAGTGTCAAGTTGACCAAAAAAAACAAACAACAGCAACAACAAAAAACTAACCAGCTCAGGGGCCATGTCCTGAGGGGCATCCTGGATCCCCTGGCTCTGAGACCTAGTCCCACTAGGGGACTAGGTTCTGGAGATAGGGGTTCTGGAACCTTCCTGTTGTGTATGAGCTGGCAGAAGTCACCCAATGGGAATTACATTCTGAGGCCAGCGTGGGCTATTCAGATCATGGTTGGGCACAACACCAGGTCCTCAGACTTCATGGAGTAGTCAACTTGTCCTCCCAGGGCCTGTTTGGGTCCCTCTCCACAGAATTCATTAAGTCATACCCTGCAGTTTAGGTCACAAGATGATGGGTCAGATGCATGGAAAGTCCTCCCTGAGGACAGCTGCTCATTCACAAGGGTCCCTGAGCAGGCCAGAACGTCTTTACCTAGGGCAGCTCCACCTGGGGACACCTGGCGAATGAGGTTCCAGGAGGAGAGAGGAGCTATCTCCTTTGGACTAAGGCAGACCAAACAAAGGGTCACACCCGGCCACTTTGGGTCTAGAGACTGTGGATGCTACTGTGGGTAAAGCCAAAGGGCCAGGTTCTTGGCAATGCAATAGGGTTCGATGTCCCATGCAATGCTAGCTTCGAGTCTGAGTTTCTTTTACTGAGCTAACACTCCAACCTGCGGTCTCATACCATGCTCAAGTTAAGCATGAAAGGCAAATAAACCTCCCAATTCACGGATGAGATCATCAAAGCTCAGAGAAGTTAAACAATTTGCCTTATGCCAAACAGCTAACAAAAACTAGGAGCATAGCCAGGCGGTGGTGGCGCACGCCTTTAATCTCAGCACTCTGGAGGCAGAGACAGGTGGATCTCTGTGAGTTCGAGCTCAGCCTGATCTATAGAGTGAGTTCCAGGACAGCCAGGGATACACAGAGAAACCCTGTCTTGACCACTACCACCTCCCTCCAAAAAGAAGGAAAACTAGGAACCAAGTATGGTGCTACATGCCTGTAATTCCAGTACCTGGGAAGCTGAGAGGGGAAGACCTCTGGACTATGCAGTGACATTGCTAAAAAAGAAAGGGAGAGAAAAAGAAAGAAAAAGGAAGCAATGAGGAATGAAGGGAAGGAGGAGGGAAAGAAGGAAGGAAGGAACGAATGAAGGAACAAAGGAAAAAAGAAGCCATGTTCCTGTTGGGGCATACTTGTGATCCCCATGCTGGAAAGGTGGAGGATCCCTGGGGCTCCATGGCCAGCCAGCCTAGCCTACTTGACAAATTCCAGACTAGTGAGAGGCCCTGTCTCCAAAGAGAGCAGGGGCTGCGGGAGAGGATGGTTCAGTAGGTAAAGTGTTTGCTGTGAAGCATGAGAACCCAAGTTAGTCCCCAGCACTCACGTAAAAAGCCAGGTGCCGCCCGAGGTGTGCACCTGTAATCTCAGGACTGGGAGGCAGAAGCAGGAAGATCCCAGGGTCTTGATGGCCACCAGGTCTAGTCAATCAGTGAGCTCCAGGTTCAGAGAGAGCCCTTGCCTGAAAAAGGATGGGGGGAGGGGGAAGTGGAGAATGATTGATAAAGATACCTAACATTGTGACACTGATACCCGGCCTCCACATGTGGACAGAAGACCGTGCGTGTGTGTGTGTGTGTGTGTGTGTGTGTGTGTGTGTGTGTGTGTGCCTGCGCATGCACACACACACCTTCACTAGCACAGGATACACCAGCCACACCTGGGAGGTACAGGATAGGTCAATGGGTTGCGTATGTGGCACTGGACATGGAACCTGGGGCCTCATGCCTGCTAACCAAGCATTCTATCAACCGAGCCACAATCCCAGGCTTCTGGTACTTTGTTAAAAATGTACAAAACGGAGTTCTCCATTTGTAGACGTTGACAGGATATTTGTTCAAGGACGTGGATGATGGGGCTGACTACCCCCAGGAGAGTCTAATGGAGTGACACAGGCCTGTGTTCTGAAGGGACATCTGACAGACGAAGGCCTTTCCTTAAACTCAGGCTGAGACTGTAGTGCCTGGGCCCATGGTCTACCTGTGGGGCATGAAGGGCCTCAAAACATTTTCCATGAATGTGCACATATACACATACACATACAGTAAACTTTATTTTTCCTCCCAGGATTGGGAATAGAGCCCAGGCCCTTGCATGTGTTAGGCATGTCCTGCCCTGAGCTACACTGCCAACCATTATTTTATATTTGATTGGGGGTTTTTGTTTGTTTTGTTTTCATATTGGAGACAAAGGTCTCATATAGGGACCCTTGCTGGCCTAGAACTTTCTATGTAGACCAGGCTGACCTCATACTCATAGAAATCCTCCTGCCTCTGCCTCCTGAGTGCTGAGATTAAAGACATGCACCACCACCGTCTCCATTTGGTTTTGTTTTTAAAGAGCGTGTTATATTGTTTCCCAGGCTGGTCTCCTGGTTTGTGGACACAGACAGGATGAAGGTTTGTCACCAACCATCTGGAGCTGGAGCTGGTGGAGGGCTCAGGCACCAGCTTCCCAATTTGGTGACAACCTAGGTGCAAACTTAGAAGGCAGCCAGGCTGGGGTCAATGAAGATTTCCTGGCAGGACCAGGGCCAGCTGAGCTCAGAGGAAGTGCAACTAACTTGGAGCGGGGGGGGGGGGGGCGGGGGGAACTAGATCTAAACCTAGGACTTGGGTACCCCGGATATGAAATCACCCAGTCCCAGTCTTGTAGGAGAGCTGCTTGTTTCCCCAGCATCTAGCCAGGGGCCTGACCTCAAAGTGAGTCACCGCAGCCAACCCAGCTGATTCAGCGGAGCTGGGGGAGTGAAGCCAAGACTGCCCGTAGACTGAAGTGGCCAGCCAAGGTCAGGACTGTCCACTGTCTGGAAGAGCCAGCCAAGGCCATCATTCCAGCAGGGCTGAGCCCCACCTGCTGGCACCCAGCCACAGCAGGCCTCTGTCTTCATAGCCCTTTGGTCAGAAGGCCCTGGCCTCAAGGAAATGGTTTTGGCAGGGGAAGTGGCTTATGACTGAAGACTCCTAGAAAGGGATCCGAGCTGTGGAAAAGAACCAAGGGGTGAATGAAGAGTGACCTCATGGGAATTCACTGATGGAGGCCTGCATAAGTGACCGAAGAGAGGGAGACACTGTGTCACCAGACACAGTGATGGGAGGGTAACCGCAGTCTGCCCCCCTCCAAGGCAAGCAAAGCCCACCACAGATAGCAAGGGACAGAGGCCAGAAGGCAACGGAGATGAGCTCTCGATCCCAGATCCCATGTGCACCCGTGAGAAATTTGACCAGTGGCACCAGCCAATCTCTTCCCTCTGGAGGTTTAGTCTACCCTTTGGCCTGGCAACAGCATGGTCCATCCCTACAATATAGGATACCATAGAGAATCAGTTGGGGCACAAGGTCAGGGCTGGGCCTTGTCTACCTTGCCCATCCCTAGGATGAGGTAGACAGGGGTCTGGCCAACATGGATTCCCATTTGAACTGACAATGCTGAAATGGAACTAGTTAGCCAGGCATGTGAGGCAGGACTATGAGCCTAGCACTCAAGAAACTGAGGCAGGAGGATTTCATGAGTTTGCAGCCAGCCTGAGCTCTAAGTGAGAGCCTGTCTCTAAATAGATGGATGGAAGATAAATAGGTAGGTGGGTAGGTAGATAATAGATGGATAGATAGATGATAGATAGATAGATAGATAGATAGATAGATAGATAGATAGATAGGAAGGATGGATGAATAGATGATGATAGGTGGATAGATGGATGGATAGATAGATAGATAGATAGATAGACAGATAGATAGATGAATAGATGATAGACTTTGGTTTGGATACATGGGATTACAAAAGGTAGAAAGGTAGGGGTGGTGATGGGGCGTTCACATCTAATGTGTGGGATTGGAAGTAGGAAGAGGAAGCTCCATAGGAAGGGATAGTGAGAGCTGCAATGTACTGTGCATGCAGATAATGACAAAAAGCATTTGCCATTTTAACTTTTAATTTATTTACTTGTTTCTGCAGCATGAGATATTGAACCCATGTTAGGGAGGTTCATTACCACTAAACAACATCCCCAGCCCCTCACTGGGGGATTCTAGGCAGGGGCTCTACCACTGAGTCACACCCCAGCTCCTCACTGGGGGCTTCTAGGCAGGTGCACTACTACTGAGCCACAGCCCAGCCCCTCGCTGGGGGATTCTAGGCAGGTGGCCTACCACTAACTGTGTTCTCAGATTCTCACAGGGACGATTCTAAGCAAGTGTTTTACTACTGATCTAGGCTCAGCTTTAGTTATTTTGTCTGTTTTTGTTTATTGAGACAAAATTTCTCTGTGTAGCCCTGTCTGTTCTGGAACTTTCTCTGTAGACCAGGCAGGGATCCTCCTGTCTCTGCCTCCCAAATGCTGGGATTTAATACATACACCACCACTCCTGGTTAGCTTTAATGAGTTTTAAAGTGTGTGTGTGTGTGTGTGTGCGTGTGTATACGTACCATGACATAGTAGGTAGGTCAGAGGTCAGAAGTTGCACTCACTCTTCCCCTGGTTGCGGAACAAGGTCTCTTATTAACAATTAGGTATACCTGGCTAGCTGGTCTGAGCGTTTCCAGGGATTCTCCTGTCTGCCTCTTCCACCTTGTAGGAGCCCTGGAATTAAAGATGGCTGATACCTTGTCTGGTTTTATGTGAGTTCTGCAGATTTGAACTCAGGTCCTCAAATTTGCAGTAAAAGAACTTTACCCGCTGAGCCAACTCTCCCTGGCTCAGTGTTGATCACTTGGAAACGCCAGAACAGATAAGAAAACTCACATATCTACAAAAGACTTAGACGGAGGCCTCCCAGGTCGGGAAAGGGTTCTTCATTGCACATTTAATAGCTCATGCAGCACTTGGTGACATAAATAGGGGATGGAGGAACATGTCCACAGAATCCACAGATAGTCCACAGTGCAGGCAGGACACACACAGCCAGGGCCACACAGGGAGGAGCTGATGGCCAGCCGGAAGGCTCACCTCCCTAGACGTGCACAGTGGGGGCAAGAAAAGATTGATCACCCTGTCTCATGACATGCCAGTTACCCAGGAGACACTAAGCAGTTGTGGACACTCATGTGGCCCTCAGGCCTGCTGGCTCATATCACACTGCACTGGTGGTTTAGTATGTGGGGTTAAGCCTGGTTTCAGCTCATCTTCCCCTCACGAAAGGGAGCAGAGAGGAGACTCAGGGAAGAGATGCTTGGGGTTCAGGGGCAGGGACTCGGGCTTTACACAATGAATCCGGGGAAGGCTCAGCACCCACAGCTTTAACCAGCAAGTCAGAGTTCCTTGCTGTCCCTCGGGATCTCCAATAGGCAGGTTGACAGAGCCGTGACTCCTAGCCTCCAGGAGATGGGGACTCAGCCCAGACTCAAAACCATTTGGAAAGCCCCCGCATCACCATGCTTCCTGCCCAATCTGGGCGCCCAGCCAGTGAGGGGGTCACAGGTTTGGCCAACTGTCCTGACATGAGCTCAGGGTGCCCTGCCTATCCGGAAATGAACTTTCCAAAAGCCATGAGGGCAAGTGACTAGTTTAAGATACTACCTCCTGACTTTCTGTGGTCAGTTAGGAGGCTGGAACCTACTTAGGCCCGTCTTTCTGAGAGTTAGGGTAGTGAGCAGGGACCAAGAATGTCTTTCCTCACCCTCTGTTTCTGCTCTCAAACCTGAGTGTCCATTTGAGGACACCTCCCTTTGACACATCTGTCCTACACACCTGGGAGAATCTGACAGGGACCAGGGACAGTGTCCTAACTTTCAGCCCTGGGGGAAAGCTGCAAGGGTAGCTGTAGTCCCTCTGTCTTGAGACCTGGCAGGACACAGAGCCAGTTCAAGTATGGGGACCAAATAAGAATTCCCAAAGACTTGAAGAGGGGATAGGATGGCCCCAAAATAAGGTTGTAGGGTCACTGTGGGGGAGGCAGCTGTCACTTCCCTGGTCTGGGGATGCAGTTGTTGCTTGCCCTTACTTTTTAAAATGCACAAGATGGTTATTTATTCAAAAGTGAGTCCAGAGAAGGGAGCGGCTCCATGCCAGGCACCAGCCCCACCTCGCTGCTAACCAGCAGCTCCCAGGCCCCCAGCATGGGGAATGGGTCACTGGGCCACAATGGGAACCCCCACAAGGGTACAGGTGCAGTGCAAGCTCAGACAGTGAGGGAGATGAAGCTGTTGTAACGCTGGATGTTTCTTTTCAGGATTTCGGAGCAGGGGCCGAGGACGCGTTCGAAACGAGGCCGGTCCAACTTCACACACTTGAGAGGACCCCGGGCCACCACAGTGGCTGCACGGGGTCGGTTCAGCAGCAATGCAATCTCCCCTGGAGGGACGAGAGGAGAAAGTCAAGATACAGAACGGGCTTCCTTCCCAGTGGGATGACAGGTGAACCCGCATTTTCGTCCTTCTCTTCTTGTTTCCTTGAGACAGGGTCCCCTACCTCCCAGGCTGTCTTAGAACTCGCTCACTATTCAGCTGAAGATGACTTTGAACTTCTGATCCTCTTGTCCCCTCCTGAGTGCTGGGGATTTCAAGCTGCACTACCACACCTGGTTACTCAGTGCTGGCATTCAACCCATGCATCTTTAGCCTTGATCTTGAATTACAAATGCAATTTGTGTACATGTGTGCGTGTGTGCGTGTCTGTGTCTGTCTGTCTGTCTCTGTCTATGTGTGTTTACCTGGAGACTGAACACAGTCTCATGCATGTTGCCCAAGCATGCTACCACTGAGATATAGCCTAAGCCCTTTAAAAATTATTATTTTTTTTAAATTTTGAGACAGAATCTCAATAAGCTGCCTAGGATAGGCCACGAACTGCCATCTTCCTGCCTCAGCATTCCTATAGCTAGGATGGCAAGCACTGCATAAGTCAGTCTGGTAAATTCTTCCCTAGTTTAAGCATGGCCTGTGAAATACTGGGAATATTTTATATAAGCTAACAAATTAGGGACTGGGGATGTTGCTCATTGGTAGAGCACTTGCCAAGCATGCACAGAGCCCTGGGCTCCATCCCAGCTCTGCATAAACCAGGCATGGGGAATCAAGCCTGTGAATCCAGCACTCAGGACGTAGAGGCAGGAGGGTGAAACATTCAAGGTCATCTCCAGCTACACACCGAGTTTGCCTGGCTTACACGAGACCGTTTCTGCACTCCCCCCCCACACCAGGAAAAACTGTGTTATTTCTCTGAAATGCAAGCTGAGTTAATATTGTCCTGTGATCTGCCTAGCAGCCCCGCATGCAGGAGACACTGTGATATGGCCCAGGCCTCCTCCTGACCTAGTTCCAGTTGTGAGAATGGTCTGTATCAACTCAGGACCCTCTTCCTCAGCAGCTACACGAGTGAACCGCTTATGGTGGTGAACCTCTCACCAGGGCTCCGCTCTCCCCAAGAACAGCAGCTGGCCCCCAGGGCTGTCAGTCTTGTGGTCTCAGATCAGTCCTGGACCTCAGGGTGAGGGGGCTCCATCTGAGGCCTCTCTCACACCTGCCTGTGGCTTCCCTAACCCTCCAGAGTCACCCTGAGGCTTCACGAAACCTCATGCAGCTCCCGACCCAGGGCCCCAAATGAGATGCCCTATATTGACTGGGGAACTCCAACTCACCAAAGTAGTCAGAGGGTCCAAGGCGCCCCACTTCCACATACTCCTCATTGGGGGATCGTCGCTGGAGGACCGAAGCAGTACCCTGTGGGAGAGGAGACAGGCAGACATCAACCAAGCATGTAGGTCAGTTGTTAGGAGGGCATGTTGGACGCTGCTTGTTGGGGTACATCACACTTGGGGAATCGCTTGCTTTGGTGGGCATGTGTTGGAGGGTCATGTGGAGAGTCTGCAGTAGGAGTCACTCCCTGTTTGTCCCTTCTTCCTGGATCTCTTCCTCCATGCGGCCATAGCTTCTTCTATGCGGGCTTTTCCCTCCTCTTTTTGGGTCCTTCAGGCCTTCAGGGAGGCAGACCCCCTTGAGAGCTGAGCTCTGAGTTGCTGTGGCTTACTAATGCCTCCTCCCAGACACCTATAGGACTAGAGGTTCCTGTCTGAACCCTATTTTTACTGACACAAGAGAAGCTTCCCCAAATGGGGACCTACCCAGCACTTCCCCCAGAGGCCTTGGTAGTGACTGTGAGGATGGCCCCAAGGGTGCCAGTGCCTTGTCACTATGCTGAGAGCTGACCTTGGGCTGCAGCCTAAGGACAATGAGCTGTCCCGCCACATTGGGGGGGGCCTCCAGGGAGGCAGGGAGGAGCATGGTCTCAGGGTCACACACCTGCTGAGCTATGCAGCCCCTCCTTACTCCCAAGAGGGCAGTGGGTCTACAGATGAAGCTGGCTCAATGATTAACAGGGCAGCTGCAGTAGGTCACTGGCCTCTGGGAACATTAAAGACAAGGCCGGGGCACCCGGGACATCTTGGCAGCCAAATGCCTCCTATCCTCATGCACGCTACTCCTGAGATGGGCAGCGCACATGGTTGGACCTTGGCTCCTTCTGGGCTAAGCCTCCCAGAGTCGGTATCCCCACTTGCCACCTCCAGGGCCTCAGGAAGATGGAGAATGGCTTTCAACATCGCCAGTCACTCCCGGTAAGAACTGCAGAGCTGAGCCAGCTGTGGTGATTCACACCTAGATCTAGGAAGCTGAGGCGGGGGGGGGGGGGGGGGGGGGGGGGG